AAATGGGCCAAAGAAACTCTCAATTTTTTACCAAGATGAAAAGGGAAACTGTAATTTTTTAAAGGCAGCCAAGTATGGAACACAGTGGACTGACTTCTCCAAGATGTTTCAGTGGATATTTTCAAGTGAATGTAATCATGAATCCTGATATCACATTGAACAAATAAATGTCTTCTTCATTACCTCAGATTAAAACTCAAGTAAAGGTAGAAGCATACCTCCAAACTCTGCTCAACCTCGAAAGGAATTTTGATGGAAGGATCTTTTGATCCCTCTGGAAGGACAACCTAAACATAACAAGACTCCATTATTAGCGCTATTAATTTCCATATAAAAAACATTGGTAACCATATGTAACAGAAATATACAATCTATATCTCAAAAGTCAACATATAGAGCATATATAATATAATGCAGACTTTGATTGTCAACTTGTCGACTATAGTGTCAGCAAGAGGGCAGCCAAAAGTGTAATTCAGGTAACGAGCACCATCATCTGACTCGAAAAGGAAGTCTTGCAGAGGCACTCCATATCCAATCACAAAAGTCGATTTCCAGCCTCCAAATAAAGGATAACGAGGTTCTATAAACAGCTCCGACTACAAGAAAGATGGAGATTTGTCAAACATAGGTTATTTTTCCTTTAACCCGATTTTTAAGGGAATATAACTATTATTATTCCCTTTTCAAGTGGTTTACAAAAACTACAACTGCATCAAAAAAAATTATCTTCTTTTTGGTTGAATATTCATCATTTTGCATTGGCAATAGAATGAGAGGCATCCCTGGAAAGAAATGGAATCTTAATGCTTAACAAGTAAAAATAAAGTAAAATAAAGTAAAATATTCATCTCAAGTCTTTATGTTAGTGTCTATATGAGCAAAAAAAGAGTGAGATTACCTTCTTGGAATTTACTCGTAGTCTTGATGATGAAATATTCCCAATATTGTCCCTGTAGTATACAGAATGAACTCCTGCGGGTAGTTCCGCAAGAAGGTGTTTGAAAGAAGAGGCACCACTAGAAGTGGGATTTGATTGATAATCAAGCCTATAAAAAATATCCAATAAGCCCAAAGAAGCAAAGAATGCAAAGGATGTGATTGGATATACTTTCATTTGAGAAAAAAATCCACTAGAGATTATTGATGAAAAACTTTGGGCAGAGAAAGTAAAATGATCGATAACATTGATGCGATAGAAAAGAATTAAAATAATAATTGGTAATCAATATATGTGACTGAATGAATAGAGTATTACAGGAAAATGTGTTAGAATGATTTCCTTTATTTTAAAATTGTATTGATACGTTTGAGGAGAGAAAACTGATTGAACAAATAGTATATTTTTCCAAGTTTCTTTGTCCAATTGCAGCTTTTGAGACAAAGAAAACAAAAAATAAAAAAAAAAAAAAAAAAAAAAAAAAAAAAAAAAAAAGAAAGAAAGAACTTTAGTTAAAAGGAAACGAAATTTTGGTAACAACTCGTGCACAAATTAACTGATTTCCACTTATCTGTAAAATTTGAAACTCACATTGGTTAGAGCATCAACCCCAATAACACATGCAAAAAGGAAAAAAACAAAAAAGGCATTCTGTTACCTATAGATTGTGTTTATAATAACGCTATCAAATAAACTTGCTAAACAACTTGAAAGAAGAAGTTTTTTGCTCAGTTTTATATCCATGCAAAAACAGATAGTAAATCCAAAGACCTATGCAATTGAAAGTTTCGAACCCAATCTTTCGTCAATTAATAATTCAACCTTGAGAATCCTTTATGCTTAGCTCCAGCGTTAGCCAACTTGTAGTGCTCTGTCACCTGTACACTTCCCCAGTGAGAGATTTCAATCTCGCGCTCGAGCTCCTCAACCACCGCAAATGGATGATTATTCTCAAAGTGAACAATAACGGGTGAGTACGAATAAGGCTCGCGATCCTCATATGGCCCGTATCTAAGCTCACTACCACTCTGGTGAGTGGGCCCCACTTGAGTGAAGGACTCAACTTTACTAGTGGGGGTTTTAACCACAGATGCCTGCTGTTTTATATTATAAGGTGATAGTATAACGGCACTATCACGGTAATAAACCAACTGGGACTCCGATTGGCTTATTTCGACCGGGAATGGATCAAGAGAGTGAGTTAGGACGTAAAAAATTTCTAAAGTGGTGGTTTCACCCTTTGGTAGTGAGTTGATCAGTGAGATGGCATAGTACTTTGTTCCATTTGGTGAGTCGGGTTGACTTTGCTCAGCAGGGTTGACTTCGAGAGGAACGTAGGATTTCTTCCTCTTCTTCCCAACAGTTGTAGCTGCTTTGACAAACGAAAGATGGTCAAACTGTGAAGGCGGGAAGGCTAGGAGAACCTTTGAAGCTGGATCGTCACCGATATTTTCGACCTATGGTATGGAAATAGACCACTTTATCACTTATTTAAGAATTTCTGCAGATAAAATAGAACAGAAATAGAAATGCAAGAAACAATGTTGGAACAGAATTGCTATCATCCAATCAATTATCTTCAATAAATTTCAATTGTTGCACGCACTTATCACAGATCTTTTACCCCTATTCTGAATCCAAACTCACTAAACTCAATTGATGCTTAAGAATGAATAATAATAGGCCGAAATGGTTGCAAGGCATATCAGTGGAATTCGAAATGCTTCGATTGCCCAAAAAACTCGAAATGTTAGAACCAAAACCAAGAACATCATACAAGTAGTCCATCACAATCAACAATCTCTTACCATTTGGAATGTTTGGTTCAGTCAACAAAAAAATGACAAGAGCTCACAGCAGAAAACCAAAGTGAGCCATTCAGTGCATAAACATCGAAAATACCAATCATACAAATTGCCAATACACAATCCAAAATTCCAACTTGAAATAAATGGTCGATCACAGTCAGTCAATTTTAAAGAAATAGCAAATCTAATGAACATCAAAATAATTTCTTCACATTAAGCAAATTTTCTTCTTCCGCTAAACAATTTCAAGGAAGAACCTCCAGAAAAACTAAGAAAAAGAGGAATACCTTCAATGTCATGTAAACTCGAACAATGTGCGAAGTCAAATCGATCTGCACCACACCAAAATTCAGAAGTCAGGGAGAAATAAACCCTTACCCAGAAAACACATATACATGAAAATGTAAAAAGACAAAAATCAGACATGGACGACGTTCGAGGTAACAAAAATGGAAATATGATCGGGGATAGGGGAATTTCACCTGACGCTCGGCTTGGAGGATCTGAAGGCCGGAAATCGGTGATGAAGAGGATGGCGATATGAGCAGAGATGTGCAGAAGATTAAGAGAGAGAAAATTGCTGCAGCCATTGTTGTGAAGCTTTCGAGTTTCGACTGACTCAGATGAGTCTTCTCTCTTGATAGTGATGAATTTATCCACCTTTGAAGTCTTCCTTTTGTTTGCATCGGTCAACTGATTCAAGACTTCAAGTAATACGCAGTATTATATTTATGGAAAAGTTTAAGGTATCATTTTAAGGGACCCATTCTCATGATTTTCATCCAATAAAAGTATGCCAAGTCATCTGTGAGTGGTAGTAAGTGATGGATACTACATTTTCCTATGGACGTTAACCTTACGCATTTAGTTATCGGGTCTTCATCGGGTAAACGGGTAACCCGATTTATTACTAAAATAATTTCGATCCAATTCGATCAGACCCATTTCATGTGTGAAAAAATAAATTAAATATAATATAACTAACAATTTATTAACTAAGGTTGACAATAATGACTATAAAAAAATTCTATATTATATTTGAAATAAATATTAAGATATATTAATTTAGTTTTTATAGTCTAGTTAATAATATAACATTTAAAAATTAAGTATTTAAATTTTATACTGTAAAACTAAAAGAGAATTCGATAAAAAAAGTATTTAAATCATTAACAAAAAATAAATAATTTAATTATATTTATAATATGACATATATATGTGTGTGTGTGTAGGATTCAATGTTGCGGGTAAACGGATAGGGTAATTGGATCGGGTAATAGGTTTTTATACCATACCCGAACTCGAAGGGACTCGGAGTTCGGGAGCATGATCTACCCAAACTTGACCTGAAACCCGATCGTAACGGGTTTACCCAACCCAAAAATACGGGTAACCAGCGGATAACTCGACCCTGCGGATTTTATTGACATCCCTATGATGATACCATGCATTACATAGTCAATTATATAACTATATATTAACTGATAATTTTACAAATAATCAAAATCTTTGCCTATAATGAGAAAATGGCACTTGACCTTATTTACTAATTTTTATGGTCTATTGTACTGGTGGTATATTAAAAATGGTTTATATAAGAGGAATAGAACCATTTAAAATTTTTATTTTAATTTTTGCATTACTAAAGAAACTTGATTCCGAATTATTTTCCTATCTATCCCTCATCATATATAAATATATATATATATATATATAACCAAATTATTTAAACAAAAATTAAATTTATCTATCAATCAGTATTAAAAGTAATTTAATCTATGAGAATTCTGCTATTACAAATAGTATTGGAATTGATATACATTCTTGTGGTATATGCATAAAAATATTGTTGGTGGATGTATATAGCATGGTATGTTTATATTATATGCTATGAGTGAGAAATATTTTTAACGCTTTGCATATCTTATATAACGCACAAGCTAATGTGAATAAAAATTATTTTGGTCTCGTATATATAATTTCGAACAAAAATTATTGAAAAATTAAAATTTAAAAACATATTATTATTTTATTAAATATATATATATATATATATATATATGCTAGTTCAATATCTCGTGTATTACACAAGTGTTGTACTAGTCAACTTTAATTCAATTCATCTGGTCATATATTTTTAACTATTTGTCACTTCCATCATCTTTCTCTTACTTTTACTTCGCACTAACTTTTATTATTATATTTTAAAGTTATACTTATATTAAAAGTTATACCATTTACCAGATTTAGTATAAAGAAAAGTCAATAACATTTATTGCATTACTATTTCCATATTATACAATCTATACTTATACAAAAAGAGATTCTATTTACTACATTTACTATCCAGAAAAGTCAACTGCATCAAATGTCATTACTATTTTGGTATTATAATATTTTATTTATGTAATTGATTTATTTATTTATTTTATTTTAAAAAGGTAAGTATAATAAAAAGATTTTAATAATAAAAAAATCAAATACCAAATAAAAATGTACACTTTGACTTATTTGATTATATTTGATATTTGATTATACCAAATATGTTCCTATTTAGTATATACATTAAATACTTACTAAAGTATTTATTTGTTTTGTTTGTCAAAGTTAAGTATAGATTTGTTTATATTATCAAATCATAAAAAATATTAAATCCATATTGTAAAAAAAATAATTTTATAACAATTCTACTACACTATTTAACAATATTTCTTTTTTATTATATAATAAAATAATAATTAAATATTATATAGTGAACAACAATAAGTAAAACTGTTACTTTCTCTTATATCAAGAGATAAATTTATATGCTAAAATTAAATTTTTATTAGTATAAATGTTTTAGTGAGATAATATATTAATTATTTTACAAGCTAGCCCTAACATGCTCATATTTAATGTTTTAAAAGATGTAGAAAAAAAACTTATAATAACTCTATTGTTTTTTAGACTTAAACGTTGATTAAAAGAGGTAGAAATTCTTAATTTTTTAGACTTAAACGTTGATTAACACATAAGATTGAGAGTTTATATTTAGTAAAATTCCTAATTGTAATAAAAAAATTAATTTTTGCTATATTTTAGAATATCTTTAAATTCATTATAAAAAAAAACTACAATGAAAAAAGCAAGTCAGCTATATATCGATTTGTTTTACTCCTCAAATCACATTCACAATTTGGCTACAAGGAAAGACTCATTGATTAAAATATTATTTTGTCAGTAGTCTTAATGTACAAGAGACTTTAAGACTCCATTTGAATATTATAAAAATGTTATTGAATATTGTACAATTTTCTTGCGTATTATAAACTTTTATTGAATATTGCATCTTATAATATAATATTCTCCAAATAAATATATCTTGTGCTTCACACGGGTCACGTATTATATATATCCCGTACATTTTTCTTTATTCATGTATATAATTATAAGCCTGGATAAATAGCCTTAAAATTGTGCACCCGGTGCATCGCATCTGTACTAGTATCATTTAATAACAACCCCTCACATTTCACTCAGTCAATTTTATTCAAAACAACTCACTTTAATTCAAGATCCTTTTTGTTCGATTTTTGCTGGTATTGACTTCATACCAATCACTAGAATCAAACTTTCATCCAAACATACCATTTAAATCTTTATGAAATAATTGTTTACCATTTCACTTTTATTTCTACAACTTCAACACACAAATAAGAAAATGAAAAATTATTCATCTTATAACATATTCAAACTATCTTATCATAAATTATTTTTTCACCTTTTCACCACAACATTTTCATATTCAATCTCACCTCTTGAACTGTTGAACACATCTCCAAAATCGGCCTATTTTATTTTTTTATATCTAATACCATATCAAATTGAGTATAAATAAAATAGAATTAGTACAATTAGCACATGATTAATGATATGCTTCCCATGGATGATATTTGCCTCCCGGTAAGCTAACTCCGGCGCTCACTACCTTCCACGTGCATTCGATTCTTTCAATGTAAACATCACAAGGACTGTAACCCCATTTAGCATCATAAGCATGTAAAGACATGAATAATTCACCCCAATTAAGGTCGCAGTAAAATAAGGTGGTAAAAGGGATTGGACAGAATTTGAAGCCCCAACTCTCACCATACGTCGCCAGTGTGTGATTTCCGAGGTTGTCGTTTTTTGACGCGCAATGCACGTAAAGCGGCTTAGAGATATTCTGCGGAAGATTATTGACGAAAGTGACAAAAACTTTGGTAGTAAGGAAACAACTCTCCCCCCTATAGAAAAAATTTGTAAAGAGAAGAAAAAACAAGGTGAGGTAGAGAATGTTTGTGGTCCTAAGCATGATGTTTGGTTTGATGGTTTTAAGATGATTTTGATGTATGTATGATGTTTGCATTGGTGAAGTCTTGTCTTGTTTATATGATTGGATTGTACCCCTTTTACAAGATTGTTATTGTAAGTGATTGTAAATATTACATCAATAATGTTGTGTTAATGTTATTATATTATAATGTGATGGTGAATTTTAATTGGTTGGATTGGTTTTATGGTGATTGGATTTATATATTGACTTGAAGTAATTCGAATCAAGAAATTAACCATTCTAACTCATGTATTTCGTTAATATATAAATATCTATACTTATATAATAAGAATTAACATTTATTCAAAATAGTAGGTCAAATTATGGTCAATGTCGAATTTGCATTAAATATTTTTCAAAATTGGTAAGTTTTTGTCCTTTTCACACCTCTTTAATTATGTCTTTTTCACACTTCTCATTAATTATGTCATTTTCACACATCTAATTAATTTATTAATTACGACATAATTATCATAAATCATTCCATCTGAGTTTTTATCGTTAAAATGTATAGCGATCTGTTATGACCTTATCCCATTGATATTTCCATGAAGCGTCCTAATCGCGTTCTATCTTTTGGTAACCACTCTATATAAATAACCGGATATTTGATTAATGATAGCACACGTCTTTATTTCAAGGAGCGGATATTCTTTGACCTTTAATTAATCTGAACTGATTGCCTTGACTTTTCAATTTTTAAAAACTCTTTTTTTAAATATTTCGGCTTAAGATTCGATTTCATTATACAAGTCATCGGATTGTTTGAATGAAAATGAATGAGAAGAACAAAAAAAAACAGGTAGCCTTATTCATATAACCAATCCTAAAATATTAGTTTGTTCATCAAAAAGAGACAAATCCTAGAAATCCTAAAATATTAGTTTGTTCACCAATCTTAATATATAAGTTTGTTCACCAAAAATATTAGTTTGATTTTTAGGATTTGTCTCTTTTGAAAATATTAGTTTGTGATAATGAGGAGTTACCAAATAATCAAACTCATAATGTTGTGTACAAAGAGATTTTTAATAATATATGATTGTTACCGAACTTTTTATGATTCAACAATGTTCCTATGTATTTTAATGATTTCAATTTCAATCCTAATGCACGCGAGGTTATATTATTCTTTCAAATTTTACATCCCGTGCATTGCACGGGTTACGTACTAGTTTATAATGATATGATGATTCTAGAATTTTGCCGCAGACAGAACAATTACGTGTTATTTGATTATAAATTCCTATTTAGGAGAAATATTGATTGGGAGTAAGCACTTGTAAGATGTTATACCATTGTAACAACACATATTCTTGTATGAAACGGCTTAACCGTTGGATAAGTCAGCCCATAATAATTTTATCACAACAAATCATACTATGAAAAGTTATATTTATGTTGTTTTATGGAGTATGACATTTTAATTTAAAAGTGTGTATATTTGTTGAAAATATATGTGTTCACCTATATTTTAAAGCTCGACCGCAAGTGTCCGGCTTCGCTTATAGTATGTGCCAAGCAAGGTCGTATCCCAAGAGACCAAATAATTAATGTATCGAGTACAAGATTATGATAGTGTCAACTTTATTTAGACGACCGAATATGAGATGGATAAAGTAAACTAGAAAAATATAATCGAAAGGAAATAAAACAAGAGTAAATAATTAACTAAAGAACACGTAAGACAAATATATGAGAATGATATATTCTAAGAGTGTGGTTTCAATTAACAGTTGGGTTCTTAAAAAATATCACAACTAAATGTTTCATTTATCTACTCTATAAGATGATCACAAATTTACTTTATCGTCCCTCTTGATATCGATAAAATCGTAGATTAAATCACATATATTAGCACTCAACACATACAATTCAACTCCAAATAGATTAAAAGATCTAATATCCTTACAACGACCTAATAATCTTTCGATTCAAGCAAGTAAATTGTGTCAAATATTAAATACCTAATATTGAACTCATCTCTCAAATTATGAACAATATTGTCAAACATGTAAAAGCATTGACCAAGTGCTAAGCATGAAATAAGAACAAAATATTTGAATAGAGTTAAAAAAAAAAATCAAATATAAATAAATCATCCAAAATCAAACATATTAATCTACGGCCAAGTCCTACAATCAATAAACTAGCCACTCATATTCGAAATCAAATACATTGACATATTGGAAATCGACATGAAAAAATATAAGTTCAAAAGAAAGAAGAAATAAAAACTATGAATCTCGTTGATCTCTCAATATCCTTGATTCTTTCATAGTTGGATCTTCTTTGCTTCCTAGTTTCCTCCCTTGTGTATTCTACTGCTCTCCCTCTTGTGTATCACGTGCTCCCCCCTCAAAATAGGGTAATTATGTCTTTTACACCATCCTAAAGACTTCTTCTTTTCAAAATAGGGAAGAAATAGAAAATAGTCTGTGCACGCGACATGGTCATTCTGTCCGTATCACTGGCCATGTTGCGTTTAAAGTTTTGAAATCTAACTGTTGGGGTGACACGACGTCTGACATGGGCATAATGCCTATGTCACTGCCCGTGTCACAAATCTGCACTCTACTTTTTGCTTGTTTCACTCGTTTTTTCAATTTTTTTTTCATCCGTGCTTCAATCTTTCATCATCCCGGAGGTCTTAGGTACTCACTGTGACGCCCCGTTTTATTTTAAGGAAATTACCGAATTTATTTAATAAAAACCAGAGTAATTTTTAATAGATTTTTTTTAAAAAAATCCAAATTAAAACATTTATCGAAAAACGGGCGCTACTTACTAACCACAGCAAATACAACACATCCAATCAATCAATCCAAAGAACCTACACATACTCGAGCTATCAAAATAACAATCTCATAAATCATAAAACTCGAAATCGTTCCCAAACGTCTAGCATGAATCAAGATTCAAACGAAAATTCAAACATAGTTCGAAGGCTAAGAAATAAATAATCCAAAGTACGATAGCAAATAAATACATAGCAAGTTCATGCGGAAGCATAAGATTTCAACACATAATGACCAACATCTCGCTCGTCCTACGCCACCGCCTTCAGCTCGTCGCAACCTAGAACAAAGGAAGAGAGAACACAACAAAGAAAAATAATGAGGGTGAGCATAACCAACAAGCTCACCATTATCGCACAGCTTATCTCGCATAACATTTTAAAACATCATAACCATAGTGTTCAGTATGCATAGAATCCAACAGTCTAACTCCCTACTTGGCCCTATAGCAAACCTCCTATGTACATACAACAACCTTCCGATCACACACGACAAGGAAGTAACTGGAAACCTTCCCATCACCGAATGGCTACGGGCCTGGGATCCTTTCCAGGAGACAGTAGAGATGTTTTTCCCGAATATCATACGGACCTGAGCGTCACCTCTCTGAATCTACGGGCCGATGACCTCTCACTGTTTATGCATCATCAAAGGCACTAACATAAGGGACACTTAGACTAGGGTTCTCACGCATACATCAATTTTCAAAACAAAGCATTTATACGAAATATTAAATGCGATAAATATGGAATACATCATAAATGTACCCACCTGATTGCAGCAACAGTTCAAAGTCACAAATCTCGAAATGAGGCGAGGTCAACACCTCTAGACACCTACATTAAGTCCAGATACTAAAATCAACACTTTAATCTAGACCTATGTAGAAAATTCACAAATTGACCTAGCCGAACTCAGTTCGACCAAGTGGTTCGTGAAGTTCTGTGGATATGGGAACTCTAGGACTTAGACTCGATCAAACCACATATTCAAGTTCACATAAATGCAAGTGAAAGACAAACAAACGAGCCACAAGTAGACACATGGCACATTTGGTCAACAACACTTAACGAATTTCACTATAGAAAAACAATTCCTCAAATCACACTTGAATTAGAAGGTATATCAAATTAATGAGTTAGGTTCTGAAAATTTTACATAAATTTCACATCCCAGTTCTAAGTAAGATCACCCAGTTTCAGCTTCAAACTCCTTATGCATAATTTTATAAAATTCAAACAAGTTTTTCAACAAAAGCGAGTTTAAATTAAAGACACATGATAATGGACGATTCAGGTTATGAAATTTTTATCTAAAATACAACAACATATGAACAGAAACACATAAAAATACCAACCTTTAACACTCAGTATATCAATTTATAAAATTAAAACAACATTCAGCCAATTATTGAGTTTTTATCAAAACTGAACATAACTGAACACCAAAAATTCTAAACTTTTACAGCATGATAAACATCACATAATCAGCTTCTCATCCAAAATTCAGAATCTTCCAGCTTCAGAACAATTTATAATGATTAAAACAAATTCGGGCTGAAACACAAAATAAATTATTAACCCTATCAAACCTAGTCCAAAAATTCTAAAACTTTTATACAACATATAATTATTCCTGAGACATAACATACTCGAAAATTAGCCAGATTGGAGCACCACAAAATTATTTACGCATTTTACAAGAAACTGAACAGAAATCAAATTAATCTTTAAAAATAGCTCCGGACCTCCACAAATCACGAAAATTTTACACAAGTTATTACACATTCATCAAAAACAGCTACACCTAAAATTTCAAGGTAATTGGCAATATCATTCACACAAACATAAACGAGAAGTCGAGACTCGACACCATTCTCGGGAAAACGAGCGAGAAAGGATCGAACGGGGCTCGACGGCAAAAACTTCGCGGAGGAGGATCGTCGGAATTCAGCCTGCTCGCAAAGGTCGCGGTTGTCCGCTGATACTCGAATGAACGAGGTATGTCGAATTCCTCCCGTAGGTGGGTGTCGCCTCTTCTGCTGGCCACTTCGCCGGCGGGGGTCAAGCTCGCCGGCGATTCTCGGGGCTGTGGTAGCAGGTTCATCGGAGGGCAGCACGGTTGCTGCTCACGATGGCAGGGTTCGACGGAATCCTTACACGTGGATAGCTCGCCGGTGGGTTACTGGCAGCGACGGCGGAGGGTCGTCGGGACCTGCTGTTGTTCGTGGCGGAGGGCATCGGTTCACCGGTGAGGAGGAGTTGCGGCAGTGGTGTTGCGGCTGCTTGTGGTGTCGCTGCTGGGGTTGGTCGCCGGAAGGGCCTGCGCAGAGGTTGGTCGGGCGGAGGAGCAGGCTCGCGGACAGTGAAAACTCGCTGGTTCACGGCGAGGGGTGTTGCAGGCGGGGGTTCGCTGGTTCGAGGAGGAGAAGGCAGGGCGTGACGGTTCATCGCAGAGGTGGTCTCGCCGGGATGTTGGTGCGATCTGGAAATCAAGCGCGAGGGAGGAGAAGATTGATGGCGACGGACGATCGGATTAAGAGAGAGAGAAGGGATGGTTTTGTGGCGAGAGAGAAATTGACGAGAGAGCGAGAGAGATTGAGGGGCGGCTCTGAGTTTTGAACGAGAGGAAGAAGGCTGCGGGTTCGAGATATTCAGAGTGGGAGAGAATCGCTAGATACATATATACATATAGAACTAGGTTTTAAAAATCTTTGACACCAAGACACACACACACGCACGGAAGGAAGGAAATAAAAACTGGGTCTTGGGCGGGTTAACGGCTCACGGGCCGGTTCGGCATACCGGTTCGCGATAATAACTCGTTCTCGGGCTCGGTTACAAGTTCAAACGCATGATAAAAATGAATCGAACAATAATATATATTTTACATATATTTTAATACACATTATTCACATTTAATAATAATAAAAATAAATCATTTAGACAATTAGACATTTAGCATTTAATCATATTTAGGCAATTAATAATATTAGGACATTCAAAAATAGCAATAATATTAATAATATCACAATAATAATAATAATCAATCAATAATAATAAAATTAAATATTTCCAAATAATCCACAAATAAACCACAAATAAATGGGGCATTACACTCACCATGTGCTTCTAATAGCCAAAAGCTCTACAAACATATGAAAATATCTACAAAACAAACACGTGTAATACCTTTTCAACAAGATATATTATTAAAGTACAATAATGCAATTTATACACCAATAAACAATGAATAATCTCTAGAGACTATATAAATATGGTGTAAAATCACACATGAACAATATGATTACCTTAATCTAATGTTTAAACAAAACTTGTAATCAACCCGTGCATTTGCACGGAGGAGAATACATAGAAGAGATAACAATATAAAAAGGAAACACAAAATACAAAATCATAATTTAATTCATGAAAAGAAGAACGTATTAAGAAAATAATTCTAAATGTTATTCTAAACTGTTATTGTATTTATAAATTTTAAGATTTCTATTTTTTTTACGGGAAAATAATACTATTTTAAGTAATTGTATTATTAATTAAATACATAAATAACATCAATCATAATTTACCTATTTTTTTTTTTAAAAAAAACTAGACCAACCGGACATTCCGATTGGATGGACCGAGAACCTGTTTAGATCGATGCAGTTCGATTCAATAAAATGTTTGCTAGTGAACCGGTCAACACCAACCGGTCGGATTGTAGGATCAGTATGACTTCATAAATAAATTTTATTACATTTAAAATCAACTTTAGTATCAATAAAAATATATATATTTATATAAAATAGAGATTTATATATTATTTATCAATTACTTCAAACATTATTTTCAAATTATTCAGATATTTAATCAGTATTTTACATAAATTTATTTAAATAATTACAATATATATTAAAAAACAAAGCTTGATTTTTTGCTCGAACTCGGCTCGATTAATAAACAAATGAGTTTGTTCAGGTTATAAAACACGAGCGAGCTCGCAAGAACTTTTGTTTATGAAAGTTCAATTCATTAAAAGCCCTACTCGTGTGAACATACAATCCTTGGCAGAATTAAGATCAATATATCATCACCACCAAATCAAAACAATTTGAGAACACGTGATAGTGTTCTTAAGGAAAGTCAAAATTATTGTGATCATCAAATTACATAAAAAATCGCAACATGACAATAAAAATTCATAGTTTTAACACCAGAACCGATGATTGACCCGAGCTGAACTCTGGGTCACTGGGTCAATTTTAGGCTACCATCAACATTTGGGAAATAAGAAAGTTGTTTAACTGAGAATGGGCTAAAAATGGGGCTGCAAGGGACTATTTTTCTTTGTTCGATAAAACTCGGAATCTCGTGACCGGCCTGAACTTGCTCGTATATTTCGAGTGCTCTATCCATCACTGTATCTTGGCTAAGCATCTCGATTACTCGCCCTGGAGAAGGGTGAGTTGTGTCCATGTAACGTATATCCTCAATAGACTCAAATTTACGAGAAATTGCGGACGAAGTCTTGGATCGTATCCAGCCGATGTGCTTCGAGTTCCATCCTGCAAAACCGATGATGGCTCGTCGACATATATAATATATATGGTGAACCAATACTTTTATATTAAGCAGTACAAATGCACCATGTAATTAATAAATTACAATATTGTTATCATGCTCATTTCAATTAGATATCACAATTAGTATTCTCCAAACTAAGCCATCAACTTCACCAGATTCAACTTATTCTATAATTCTTTTCTTACCTTCTGCAAGAGTAAAGGATTAAGTCGCATATACGCACAAATATTGCACAACACCAGAAGATTGAAGTACAAGGAATTAGGCCAATTGAGGCTAACAGGGTAAAAAAGCAGTATCCTTCAGGATGCATAGCCACTCCATGCCTAACCTAACCATGATCAAGCTCTATGTAAAGATTATACGAAATCATTTAACTTGAGTTGCAATTTTAATTTTTAATGTCACAAAAAAAAAAAGAAAAAAAAAACCACTAAATAAAAACCGACGGAAGATAATTTCCATTAACCGTTGTAATTTTCAAGAAGTTAATTTTCACAAGTTTAATCTACAAAATTCTCTTATCATTTATCAACCATTTTGAATGTGTTTGATATAGTATATATCACTGTATTATAAGTCTGGGCTAGGCGGCACCCTAGCATCCCGATTTCACCATTAAAAATATACTTAATACAAAGACTGAGTATATAATATTTTTTTTAAGAAAAATGTGTAATCATACAAATTTGTATATTCTATAAAATATATTTTGTAAGTTAGGTCCTCGAGACGCTAAGTTTCAACCTTCCGCCTAACTAGGACTGCAAACGAGTCTAGCCGAGTCGAGGATCAGCTTTATCGAGCAAGATTGATATTTTATTTTTTAGCTGCTCGAGCTCGACTCGATAAAAATGTACAATTGATCGAGCTCGGGAACTCGAGCTCTACTCGAAATCAAAATACTTGAGCTCGGCTCGAAAATTTTTAAATGGAAAACTAAAATTACAATTAAACACCTATGCTATAATATTGTAATCAGGCACGGACCTACATGAGGTCCACGAGCCCCCCTGATTTATTTTTTAAAATCATTATATATGTATATACATATAAAAAATACTACAAAATATGAACAAAAATGTAAAAAATATTACAATATATACATATTTAAATTAATATTATTATTATTTATTTATTAAAAATATACTAACAATTCTTATATTTTTCATTTCTAGACAAATTTTTGAAAATATTTGTAATGATCTACCATTTCAGCCTCTTAATTGTAAATCGTTTTAGTGATTTATAAAATCAAGTATTTAGCTGGATTATTACGGTCTTTATTTTACTTTATTTTTTTGTGCTTGATCACATATTTTAACTTTATTTTATTTTTCTTAAGAAAAATGGTCATTTGATAACTCTCATCAACAAAAATACTATACAATGTTTTTTTGCAAAAGTTCAATTTAAATCAAAATTTTAATGAGAAAACTTATTTTTTCATAAATTATAGATATTGAACTTAAATTATAAACACATGAAATCTTTTATTTATTTATTTATTTTTTAAGTTTGAGGGTGACAAGGTTCTAAGTATTTAACTTATATTTATAAGTAAACTCATCTTTATATTTTAATATTTAAAATTGCCTCTCTGAGTAAAATTTCTATATCCGTCACTGATTTAAACAATTGACCTAGTGAATCAGAGGTTGATCGGTTCAATTTTCGTGTCTAATCTAAAGAAATTTAAGAGGACTCTTTGAAAATTTTAATTCTGGATGTGAATTTGAGTGGAATTTCGTTTTTTTTTTTTAATGAATGCCAACAATTTTATTTTATTATTACTATTATTATTATTATTATTATTATTATGAAATCCCAACAAAAATTTCAATGTCAAATTGCATACGAACTACAGTCTGTAGCGAGAAAAACACCCTGAAAAGAAAAGTGATGGCCGCAGTCACAAATCTATCCAATTTGTGCTTCTCAAACGGCTCAACGAAGACGACAGCGCGTAGCAACCAACCATCGACGCCTTCTTCACTACTCGTGGCCCGTACGATTCGCCGCAAAGCGTTCCCCGACAGTCGGATTATCGGGAAACGGAATCCCTTACCTTGCCGTCCGATGAGCTCTGGCCAGACGGCGGCGCAAACAACTCCACCCTCATCTTCCCCACAATCACATCCTTGGCTGATGCTCCCCCCCGTCCTGGAATCCGACTCTACCACTACCGCGGCTTACAAATTCTACAGCCTGGCCGAGAACAGGGTCGTAACCCTAACCTGCGAAGGGGCGGCCCGAGAAGTAACTGCCAGCGGCGACGTGATGCACTTCAGGGGCTCCTCCCACGGCTGGGTCGCCCTCTGGAACCCCCGCACCCACGATCTGTTCCTCTACAACCCCATCTCCCGCCGCCACATAACCCTTCCCCCATTTCACCAACTCCCCAATTATAACGACGACCCGGATTACGACCCGTTTCGCGTCGAGAAGATCCTCCTCTCCTCCTCCCCGGACGACGAGGCCTGCCGGGCCGTGATTATCTACAATATCGTGGGAATTATGGCCTTCTGCTGCCCGGCCCGGCCCAACAACAAGTGGGCTCCAATGGGTGACCCGTTGGGCCCGGACGCGTACGGTGACTGCGTCTACTCCCCGGCCCACGGGCTCTTCTTTGCCTTCACAAAATCCAATTCCTTGGAGTCTTGGGACCTGAAAGACCCGGGTTCCCCTGCCTCAAATAGGATTGCAGATGATATGGATCTACATTTGTCTTCTGAGTGGGCCCACGAGCCCGCGACCCGGATGGCGGTCGCGGGCCAGGACATCCTCTTTGTGACTCCACACACGACCGATTTGTTGGACTCGGAAGGCCTCTGTGGGATCGACTACAGGGGATCCGGACTCCTGGCCAGTGTGACTATTGATTTTGATGTGAATAGATATGAGGCGGAGGGTGGGGATCTGGTGAGGTGCTCCTCACTGGGGAATTGGGCTGTTTTCGTGGGGAACTGTAGCCACGCGGTTGCGTTGCCTGCGGCCCAGCTGCCTGGGCTCAGGCCCAACTCCATTTACTTCACGGATTTGGAAGACACCGAGGTGTTTGAGAATGATGAACTGATGAACGGCCACGACATTGGGATTTTCGATTGCGAGAAGAAGACCGTGTTACCGTGTTATTATCCACTTGATGCCAGGAGAATGAAGAAGATTTTCCCAGGGCCTATGTGGTTCTTCCCCAGCCTCGTCGACTCTAACTAAGTGATAGACTAGAGAGAGAGGGAGTACTCGTGTTTGAGATTTTTAAAGACTTTAAGATTTTAGAAATGTTTTAATCTCTAGGAATTCATTTTTGAGATTTTTAAAAGTTTTATTAAGTCTTGAGTATTGAAGTTATTTGAGATTGAGATTTATTATAATTTTTCAATATTTACTTAAAAAAAAATTATATATGAAATTTCACTTCAAATTCATAAGATTTTCGTAAGATTTCATTTGAAGGTCTGTCTAGATGGAGGTTGACAGATGGAGGCTACCATGTTCTGGACGAGTCGACTCACTACATTATCGATCTCCGCCCGACGGCACAACAGTTATGGAAGCCGCCGATCAGTGTTTCGGGACAAAACGACAAAGGAGGCGAGGGCATCTCCGCCCGACGGCACAACAGTTATGGAAGCCGCGGATCAGTGTTTCGGGACAAAACGACAAAGGAGGCGAGGGCACCTCCGCCCGACGGCACAACAGTTATGGAAGCCGCGGATCAGTGTTTCGGGACAAAACAACAAAGGAGGCGAGGGCAGGGTTCAAAAGTCAAATGAGCAAAATGAGGGCTAAATTTGTAGTATTCTGGCAATCCTGTTCAATTTAATCCACATATGTGAAGGCAACACTAGTGGGATAATAAACACTTCCTATATAGTAAACAATAGATAAAATTCAGCATAAACAGTATGGCGTGATTGAATTGTCCAACCATATCCTCTTTAGTAAATGAGCTGTTTTTGGCTATTAACATATTGATGACATGGGAATTTTTTGAACAAGATATGGTAGAACTGATCAAATACCCACAATCCATACATTTAGATGTGTCCATCTATCATATGTCTAAAATTTTGTGATCTTTCAATGAGTCTATTTAGGAAGACCAACCAAATAATATGTCTAAAATTAATTCAATGATCTATCATATGTCTAAATAATATGTGATCTATCATATGTCTAAAATTTCAATGTGTCTATTTAGGAAGACCAACTAAAACAAGTTATCGTTATAGTGATTGATACATGAGCCCATCACTATAAAATAATAGGACACGATTTTTAAAATATAGTTATGTATTACATAAATAAATATAAATGAATGTCAAATAAGCAATAAAATTTTATAATAAATTCATATCCACATTTCTAGAATCCATCCTATTTATAGCAAAAGCAAAATGCCTCCCATTATTCAAATAATGAACCATGACCACAAGAAAGATCATCTTCTCCCATGCAATTCTCCAAACCATTGAATTTGAAAATATAAAAAAAAAATAAAAATAACAAGGCCTTTCCTTTCTATTTGATCATTGTTCCAAAAGAAATGCACCTTCTCTCAAATTTCCATCAATCACTAGCACATTTTTTTATGAAAAAAGTTCTCATAACCACAACTTATACACACAAAAACCTTTAGAACATAACTTGAAGGAGGGGGAAAACAATATGTACGCGACCGCCAATTGCAAAACTCGCTCATCTCTTCTAATCCTACTTTATTGCTTATTAATAGCAATCATTCCACGTTGCCAAACGGCAGATACTGGTGGATTAACGGAGTGCGCTCAACATTGCATGCCGATATGCATGAAGATTAGGGGCGCAATGGCTAGCGCGTGCGAGCCGGCTTGCGAGCAATATTGTATCCAAGTAAGTGGCAAGATCCATCCTGGTTGGTACAAGATCGACTGATTGAAATAGATTTATGAAAAATTTAGGTGGTGATTCTTGATGTTATGTGTTTTTTTTTAGATTGTTATTTAATTGATCAATTAGTTTTAGATTTTTCTTGCTTTGATTATTGTCAAGGTGGAAAAATTGGGCAAATTTTGTATGATCTATAGTTTTGTATGATCTAGAGTTTGCTAATTACCAAGCAAACTCTTACCATAAAACAATGTAAACTAATTTATAGAAGTTTGTTTTATACAAAGTTGATATTTATTAATTTCTCCACAAATCTTGTATATATGAAATCATATACTTCAATCATCAACAAAGATCAATTATAGAGATGTTTTAGCTAGTGTTGCCAAACATAATATTTGGTACCGCGAGCTGGATGAACGCCATGCTCATCTACCCGCCATGTGCAGTACTCACTACTCTCACAGTCTGTGAAAAGCCACTTACCGTCGTAAGCATGAAAACCCACTTGAGCATCACCCCAACGAAGTTTACAAACGAACAAAGTCGAAAAGGGTTTCACGCAAAAACGAAAGCCCCAACTTTGGTTGTTCGTTAATGTGTGATTTCCAAGGTCGTTGTCTTTAGATGAACAGTGCACCAAAATCGGGTCGCGATAGGATTCGGGAATAACGTTGAGAATCCTAACATGGACTCTGAAGAACTTATTCATGAAACAACCTTCGGATTTGGGGAAAATATTATGTGCATAAATGAAGATATATAGCAAGAATAGGTACTTAGTCATGGTGCTTGACATGATATATACATGTGTTGTTTCTCAATAGGAGAGGTATATGGTTATTTATACATGTTCATTTCATTTTAATTGGCTTTTGGGTGAACCTCATTATATATGGTTGCAATATATGGACTGTTTTTAATTGAACAAGATTACAATAATAAGTTGAGAAATTGAGATAATTATATATGGTTTTGGTAATCCAGATAGTGGTATTATGCATTTACAAATTGCAGTGTTGGCTTTATGGAGAGGATTTAATTAAGAGTAGAATGTTGTTCCTACACGAAACTTATTAATCGGGTGCTTTTTTTGGGGGCATTTTGTGTTGTTAGTACAATTTTGAGCTTTATTCTTAAAATCAAGTCACTGAAAACATTTAATTTTTTTTAAATTATTTTATATTTAAATTATGTAAATAGTTTATCGAGTAACTAAATAAAAGTTATCCTATACTTATCCAATAGAGCACGTTGGAAATAAAATTCTTTTTTTTTTAAGTTTTCATTGGATTTATTGGATAAAGTGAGTTGATTATGAAAAAAGTTTGATTGGATGAATTCTTGAGTGTATATTTAAACAATAACTAAATGTAATGATTAATGTTATGTGATGTAAAAGTTAGTGATTGAAAATGATGTGTAGTCAAAAAATTATGAATAGATGAATAGTGAATTTCATTAATGTGGTGCGAGTATGGTTAATTAATATTATTTAATTATTGATAAAAAATAGGAGAGTTAAGTTAAAATATATTTGAATTTAATTTGAGTTAAAAAGGTGTAAAAATAATTGGGTTTAATGCACCAAACTCCCCTGTATTATACAAAATCTGCGCGTTTCCCCCTTGTATTTTAAAAATTGCGTCAGACCTCCTTCTATTAAGGTTTTGTATGCGCGAAACACCCAAAATTTAGACGATTTTGGGTGTTTCGCGCATACAAAACTTAATAGAATGGGTTCTGACGCAATTTTTAAAATACAGGGGGAAAACGCGCAGATTTCGTATAATACAAGGGGGTCTTGTATATTTTACCCAAAAATAATTATCTGACTAATCAGAATCAGTTAATTATAATAGCCAATCGTGCCGCAGATTTGAACGAGATATCTACTAGTGGACAAAATAAATAAATAAATAAATCTAAATTTTGGGTGTTTCGCGCATACAAAACCTTAATAGAAGGAGTTCTGACGCAATTTTTATAATACAGGGGGGAAACGCGCAGATTTCGTATAATACAATGGGGTCTTGTATATTTTACCCAAAAATAATTATCTGACTAATCAGAATCAGTTAATTATAATAGCCAATCGTGCCGTAGATTTGAACGAGATATCTACTAGTGGACAAAATAAATAAATAAATCTTAAATTGAATCTCAAATTTATTAACTCTTGCCAATGCTTTTAAATTGACCATACTCGACCTCCAACTCACTAGGTCAATCGTTGGGCAGTTAGATTAATGGTTGTACCGATTAATTAATTTTAAAATTTATAAATTTTATTTATATTATTTTTATTTTATAACCATACATAAAAACAGTCCAAAATATAAAAATTATATTTAAATTTTATACCTCATAACTATAATAATAGTGTACCCCATTATAAATATTTACACGTAAATATATTCATATACATTTATTTTGAAAATTAGAATCACAATCAGTTTGAAAAGGAGAAAATTCTGTTAGAAGGTTCAAACTTTTTGATATTATATGAATTTAAAGTTTGAATTTTATTCTTTTTTAATAGAAGACCTATATATTAGGTTATTCTCAATTTAAGACTCCCTTTTTAGTTAACTTTCCAGTTTTCATTGTAAGACCCAATTAACTTTATATTTTGATATAAATATGTGAACCAATTAACTTTATTTTATAATATAGTTATGTGAACTGAAATGATTTTTATTTAGTTTATATTTTACATACTTATAATAAATATCTTTAGTATTATTTACTTAATAATAAAGCAAAACTATATAAATTATATTTATGCAAAAGTTTAATCATGAATAATTTAAAAAAATGATAAGTGAACTCAAAAAATATGTAATAGAAATATTATTTTTATTAATAATATAAGTATGTAATAAAACTAAAAAATAATATATAAATGCAATCTACAAAATAATATATCATTTTCAACAAGCAATGACATAGTATCAACTTTTGCTTCCAAAAAGAAAAGTTAAAATCCTGAAAAGCTAAAATGAAAGAAATATTATTCAAATATTATTTTTTAGTTTTATTACATATTTAAATTATTAATAAAAATAGTATTTCAATTGCATATTTTTAAAATTATCAATTTTAAACAATAATTAATATTATAATTTTGCATTATTGTAATTTGTGTAGTTTCATTTTTATTAATATAATTTTACTAAAGATATTTATTATTTTTAATTATAATTATGTAATATATAAATTATAAAATAATAATAATAATTATAATAATAATACTTTTATTCACATAATAATTGTTTTACATATTTATATGAAAAGTAAAAGTTAGTTGGGCCTTATAATGGAAATTTAATTAAAAGTAAGCCTTGAAATGAAAATAACCTAAAATGTAAGTCTTCTATTGAAGAAGTATAAAATCCAGGCTTTAAATTAATACAATTACAAAAAGTTAGGTCTTCCAATAGAATTTTACCGTTTGAAAAGGTTGATTAACTCGTTAAATAAAAAAGGTTGAACCTTTTAATGATTCCTCCATCTAGAATAGTAATAACTTATCTATAAATAACAAACAATCAACAACAATATAAATAAGAAGCAGTAGTGTTTTCCAAGTGTCCCATCAGCATGACAAAACATACTGCAAAAAAGTTAGTCAGATTCTAATGGAAAATAGGAATATATTTTAATGTAAATTTTAACGGATATTTCAATGATATATGACGGAAATTGGGGGAAAATGGGTGCGGGCCCACTATCATGAAGCGCACCATGGGAAAACGGAAAAAATCCATATGAAGTCCAAATGAGGTTCCATCCCAAAACCAATTGGTGGAAGGAGGAGCAGCCCATTAGTCTTATAAGGTGGGTCTATTTTCCATATATGAACAATGTGAGACAACTCACAAGTGATATTCTAACACGCCCCTTCACTTGTGAGTCCTTCGAAAGCTCAAGCCCCTATACGAAGCTGGGTGCCCAAGACCTACTAGAAGTAGGCTCCCATAAACGGGTACGTAGGGAAAAACGGGTATGTCATCGCACGGTAGAACCGGCTCTGATACCATGACAGAAACTGGGGGAAAATGGGTGCGAGCCCACTATCATGAAGCGCACCATGGGAAGCGCAAAATGGGTGCGGGCCCACTATCATGAAGCCCAAATGGGTTCCATCCCAAAACCAATTGGTGGAAGGAGGAGTAGCCCATCTATTACTATATAATACGGAGAACAAAAATTATTTGAACAATCCGAAAATAATCATTTCGTTTTCCCGCTTCAATATAGTGTTTTTCCCGCTTCTTCAATTCGTAAAATTTTTTTTTGAATTTTTTCAGCCCATGCAATTAGGTAACCAATCAAATCGAATCTTTTAGCATTCAATTTGTTAAGGTGTTCCGATTTTAGCATTCAAATCCGATTTCACTTCCTTTTTTTATGCTAATCAATCCGATTTTTTTGGTTGTTTCAAAATTTGTTTAGATTTATATTTTTATTTTATTAATATATTTGAAAGAGAATCAATAAATGTTTATCATAACTTTTATTTTAAAAATAAATTTGAATAAGCATACCTTTTATTTTATATGAAATTCAAAATTACATATTTTAATATATTAATAAACGTTTATTATTTATTTTTTCCTTATGTGATATAATAGAATTTCGGTATTAAATTTATAAATTCAAACATTTAAAGGAAAAGATTCCAAACAATTTTTTTTGGGTAAATTTCATTTTATCTTGGTTTTCATTATCACATTTCTAACAAACTAATTAGTATTATATTTTTTTATCTACATTATCTAACCGATTTTTTATGATACAATTAATATAATATCTTAACAAATTAATCATTTGTCTAACCGGATTTATCTCTCTAACAAATTTGTCAATTTTTTTAAAATTAAAATGGTATGATTATTCTTATGGAGATACTTATCAATATATTAAATATTTAGAAATTTTTTTTAAAAAATGAGTTATCCCTCCTTTTACTTTATTTGAAATTCTGACTTATATTTTTAAATATATTATTATTTATTTTTTTACATGTAAATATTTATTATTTATTATCTAAGTGATAAATATTATTGATTTATCTCTTTAATAAATATTTATTATTTATTTTTTTCCTTACGTGATATAATGTAAATTTGGTTACTAGATTTTTAAATTCAAACATTTAAGAAAGAACCACGAACAAATTTTTTGGTTACATTTCATTTTATTTTAACTTCCATATAATCACAATCCTAACAAACTAATTAGTATAATATTTTTTTACTCATTTTTATATAATCGAATTTCTTAAAATATAATTAATATAACATTTTAACTATTTAATCATTTGTATAACTTGATTTAACTCATTATCAAACTTACCAAATTTTTTTGAAATTAAAAAAAAATTGGAATATTTTTATTTGTAAAATAATAAAAAATAGCTTTACTTTAAAGTCTGGATTATTTCCATTATTTTTTGTACGTTAACAATCATATATTTTGGATTATTGATTTAAAAAAACAAATCAAAACCGTAAAGTTTAATAATATTCCTTAAATAAAAAATATTGTATAAAGAAAAGTATTTAATATTATATATTTTTCATTGATTGTATTTATTTTATTTTCATAATAGAAGAGATGTGAAGAATAGAAATAATTATATTTAAAATAAAGTCTAAAAAATGTTTAAAATATGAACTCTTCCGTGCATCGCACGGGATATACACTAGTTAGTCTTATAAGGTGGGTCTATTTTTCATGTATGAACGATGTGGGACAACTCACAAGTGATATTCTAACAATATAGTTTCCCTTATAATAATTTCAATGAAAATTTCAACTTCATTAGAATTTAAATGAAATTTGATGATTCCAACAATATATTTTTTCAAAGGGTTTTTTGTCGTAGGAGTTTTTTTCGGAATATGTGTTTAATAATAATTTGGGGGTAGATGGTAACCGAGCTACCCGACCTCAGGTCGTTCTCAAAGGAAAGCTATTCGGAGCTTTGTTCGCTAATCAATTGTCAAAATCACACAAAACGAGAAAATAAAACTTAAACATTTTANAGTTAAACATGCAAATTAATGGTTTGAAGGATGAATTAAGGCTAAGCTAAGGTAGGGATCAAAATCGATTGAAAGCAATGAGCAAACGACAGAATATGGAAATCGATAGGATAGCTAAAATAAAAATTCCAGCGGAAATTGTATATTCTAACAGAAGTTCCTATAAAAAACCGTTGGAATGATAAAATTCCATCTAAATTCCAATGAAAAACTCATATTCCAACCGAATAATTTCGTTGAAAGTTTTGTTAGAAACATTCCAACGGAAGCTATACCACTGGAATATCCGTTGGAATTTCCATTATAATATATTACCGTAAGATTTTCTGTTGGAATATGGCATTTTTTTTGTAGTGACGGATCCAAAATAGATAGAAAGAAAATGAACAAAATAAGAGAACCTTCAATCATTTTGGATAAAACTGTTGCCCAAAAATTGGCCGTCAAAGTCCACCACAACAGTTTCTTACTTCATGTAAGTTGCACCCAAGCTTATAGTTATTTGGTCAGCTTATAAGTTTTATGTATTTAAATAAGTTTCGTTTGGTCGGACGAACTTTTTTACAAAGTTCAAACTTATTTCATAAGCTTCTTTGGATAACTTTTCAAATAATCTTCTTTGAGTAGCTTTTCAAATAAACTCGTTGAAATTTTTATTTCAATTAGCTTATCAGCTAGTTTTACCACATACTTTTATTTCATATCCAATCTCACCTCTTGAACACATCTCCATAAGTGGCTTATTTAATTTTTCGATATCTAATACACATCAAATTGTGTATAAATATTATAGACTCGCTACAATTAGCACATGATTAATGATATGCTTCCCATGGATGATATTCGCCTTGATCTGGTAAGCTAGCTCCAGCGTTATCTATGTTCCACGTGCATTCCATTCTTTCAGCATGAACATCACAAGGATTGTAACTCCATTGAGCATCGTAAGCATGTAAAGACATGAACAGTTCGCCCCAATTGAGGTCGCAGTAAAATAAGGTGGTAAAAGGGATTGGACAAAATTTGAAGCCCCAACTCTCACCATAAGCTGCCAGCGTGTGATTTCCGAGGTTGTCATCTTTTGACGCACAATGCACGTAAAGAGGCTTAGAGTTATTCTGCGGAAGACTATTGACGAAAGTGACAAAAGTTTTGGTAGTAAAGAAGCAACTCTCCCCCCTATAGAAAAGATTTGAAAAGAGGAGAAAGGACGAGGTGAGGTAGAGAATGTTTGTGGCTCTAAACATGATGTTTGGTTTGATGGCTTTAAAATAATTTTGATGTATGTATGATGTTTGCATTGGTGAAGTCTTGTCTTGTTTATATAATTGGATTGTACCCCTTTTACAAGATTGTTATTGTAAGTGATTATATAAATATTACATCAATAATGTTACCTTTTAATGTTATTATATTATCCTATGATGTGATGTTGACTTTGAATCACTTGGACTGATTTATGGTGATTGGATTTATAGATTGACTTAAAGTCATTCGAATCAAGAAATTGATAAATATAATTCATGTATTTCTTTAATATATAAATCTTTAATGATATAAGCATGATACGATGATTCTATAATTTTTTCGCAGATAGAATAGTTACATATTATTTTATTATAAATTTCTATTAGGAGAAAAATTGATTGGGAGTAAGCACTTGTAAGATATTATACCATTGTAAAAATACATATTATTGTATGAGACGGTCTAATCTTTAGATAAGTCAGTACATCATATTTTAATCACAACAAGTCGTACTATGAAAAATTATATTTATGTTGTTTTATGCAGGGATGGATTCATGTATGGTCCAGCCTAGGCTAGATTTCTTTTGCTAACTATATAATTTATATATTAACATATGTTGGTCTAAAAAAATTATATTTAATAATTGTAAAAATATAAATACAAGTTTTAATTTTAAAATTTTAAATAATTCTTACAAATTAAAGTAATATTATTTTTCATTTAAAATGATACACCTCGCTTGTCAGATTCGACGGTATTATATTACAATATTTTTGCTTCTTATACCATATAGTAAGCTTGTAGATGAATTTATCATTTTTTAATTATAATTGATAAATATTTAAATTTAATTATTTTTATTTATATATACGATATGAATGTCAAATTATAGATTACGAAAATGTGATTAATGTAATTTAACATATATACAAAATAATAACAAATGTAAATATTATTAACTTTTAAAATGTATTTACAATTTAAATTAGTCAAGTGTTCATATTTGAAAGTCCTAACAAACATGAATGAAGGTCGATATTTATATGGACTACTTCGAACCCTTATAAAGCGCTGAAAAACTCTACATTTGTATGTAAGAAGATCATAAGGACCTCTTTATAAAACAACATAAACTAAAATGATGACATTTAGGCTTTTTTAAAATTTGTAAATTATATTTCAAAACGACTCATTTATGACTTATTACAGAAAATGACAGAAAATGGATCGTAAAATATTTTTGATATACTTCTTAATAATAAAAATGCGAAAAAAAAAGTCAAACCCCATTCTTCATTTCATTTTGAGCATCGAGTCAAAGGTAAATTGAATAGAGAATCCCTCTCGATTGTTTCAACAATTTATTTATTGTTAATATAAGTACTCTATGCAATATTATTGAAAACTTTCTTTTAACTATGTTTGCCCTGGTTCATAAAAAATTCTGGATTCGCCGTTGGTTTTATGGAGTATGATATTCGAACTTAAAAGTATGTTATTTGCTGAAAATATATGAATAATCTAATGTTTAAAGTTTAAACTAAACTTAACCACTCTAGGAAATATAAAATGAAATTTAACCAAAAAANGAGTTAATTCTAATCAGGTCTAATTCAAGCGCATACAATATTTCAAAACTTTGTGATCGTAACATTTATTTTGTCTCTAATATTTAATATCAGTGTAACTTTACATTAAAATACCCTGTTAATGGCTAAAAATATTTTTAAAGTTTCTTTTGGAAATCGAGACAAAAGAACTTACTTTTAATGTGTAGTTAGTTAGACAAGGCAGAGGACGAGTTGAACGATTGAACACAACGCTGAATTTCAATATATTAATTATGATTTTTTTAATATTAAAATCATAGATATTATGATATTATTATTTTCTGAATACAAAATTGATATTTTTGAGTAATAAACTGATCCCAGAAAAGTAACTGTTTGTTTTGTACTAATTTTAAGTTATGTTCTGTTTTTTCGTAACTAGACGTGTTCTAATTTCTTAGTAAATAAATTTATAATTTTATTTTCAAAAAATGACAACCATTTAAGAGTAAATGAAAAATTGATTTTTAGTTGAGAATGTTAGATGAATTGAACTAATTAAGACGTTGGTTTGACCTCAATTAATAGTTAATTTATATATAGGTAATTTCAATTTGGGTTTTTTCATTTTGAACTTTTCCCTAGCATGATCTGATAGTTTAGGAGCGTCTGTAACGAACTTTGAATCCTTTTATTCACGAGCAGTTGTATGAGAAGAAATTCACACGTCCAATTCTATAGTAGAGTTGGAATGCCGAAACAACCATCTATTATAACCGAAAAAGAACTAGATTCCATAAATATAGAGGAAGATTGAAGGGAATATCTTATCGAGATAATCATTTTGCCCGTTTCGTGTATTATTATTTTTATGTTGCGTTTGTGTATATTTCGTACTTTTCCATGTCCGTTAGTAAATTTCAGGCCCGTTAAAAGGAAAAATCGAGTCGAAAATTCCTAGCACATGAGAAGAAGTGAAGAACCCACGACATTCGTATTTGGGCGTGAACCGGAGGAACATACCTCACCCGCCGAGCTGATGGAGACGAGACCGCGTTGGCGTTTCTGAATAAGTATGACCGTTTGCGTATTTAGCTGACTGATGGCTCAATTTAATTGTCGTGGGATTTTATTTCTATCATTATTAGTAGTATTTAATGGGATATTATTATTAGTCTACTTATTAAATAAATGTAGGATTTAGGGTAAGTTGAAGAGGGTGGGACTCTTCTTTTGTATTTATGCATATGAGCAGTGAAATAAAAACCAGTCATCGTTGAAATTAAGAAGAGATATCTGTGTTCTTGTGTTCTTATTTCCCGTTTGAACATACGCTCTACATCAGTTGGTATCCAGAGACCAGCTACGATCCACGATGCCGCCCAAGAGAGATAACGCCGTCGACGATCGTCTCCAGCGAATGGAAGAGCGATTCCAAGGGATGGACGAACGATTTACGGATCTTTCAACGGGGGTCGAGGAGATTCGACTGGCTATGCGAACCATGATGGAGGAGGTACGTACGAACCGCGAAGGGGCTGACCGGGGCCATCGTGGAGGGATGCGCGGCGGTCGTGGAGGTCGGGGTTATGGCGGGGCGCCCCGCCGTCGATCACCACAGCCACCGCCGACCGGGGAGGATTCCGACGAAACCCTAACAGGCGACAATCCTTTTGCTACTGACGACCGCTGGCGGGGCAGAGAGGAGCGGCTGCGCGCGCAGAGGGGCTTCGACGACCGTGAGGTGGACCTAGGGTTTACCGGCGGTGAGGGCGGACGCCGTGCGAGGGTGGATAGGCGATTTGGTACCGATTGGGATGACGAGCAGTGGCAGCGCGACGAGTTTGTCAACGGCGAGGGTACAGGCCGTCGCGACGGGCGGCGATACGGGGACGGTGGCGAGTTCCCGAGGTACGGTCCGTTTTCAGACGACGAGGAAGATGGCAGGAATGACGGTGGCCAGTGGCGGCGTGAGGGTCGTCGTTGGGCTGCCGATGACGACAGGCTGCGTCCTGGAGGTTTCGGTGACCGGCGCGGGGGCATGCGTCCGATAGGAGGGGGCGATGCATCGCGTTGGGAGTCGGGCTTTCGGGTCGACATTCCCGAGTTTCATGGCGGTGTACAGGCGGATGATTTTTTGGATTGGTGGGCAGCTGTGGAGGCCGTGTTTAGGTTCAGAGAGGTGCCGGATGACAAGCGTGTCGCTCTCGTCGCTACTCGATTTCGAGGACGTGCAGCGGCATGGTGGAAGCAACTTACGAGCTTGCGGCATCGTCAGGGGAAGGCTCAAATTTCATCGTGGATGAAATTTCGTGAGTATGTGGAGCGTGAGTTCTTACCACACAACTATGATAGCCTCGTTTACCAGCAATTACATAATTTGAAACAGGGCGTACGTTCCGTAGATGAGTACACGGAAGAGTTCTATCGCCTTTTGACTCGTGTTGAGCTTCGGGAGACTACAAATCAATTGGTCGCTCGATATGTTGGCGGGCTTCGGGTGTCAATCTAAGATATGTTGAACCTTTTTCGGGCAGAGTCGGTTTCCGATGCTCATCAACGGGCCCGTCTTGTGGAGCAGCAGTCGAACCGAAGGAATGGGGCACCTTTTTCGTCGGGCCCGCGGTCAGGCCAACCGAGTGGGAGCGGAATGCAGCCCGGTCGTGCTACACAAGTGACGGGCAACGGCGCGGGACAACTTACCGCGGCGGGGCAAAATTTGGTAGCTGGCGGCAGTCAGCCGCGGTTGCCGGGCACGGTGGGAATTCCGACGGCTACACCGGGACAGCGCACGGGGACTGGTCTTCGGTGTTTTGGTTGCGGCGAGATTGGTCATCGACAATCGGCGTGTCCACGAGGCCAGCATTCACGTGGTTTATTTATTGAGGAGGTTGAAGACCACGATGTGCATGAGGACTACAACGGCCCTCCACAGTTTGATGTTGAACCAAGTTTGAGCGAGGAGCATCATAATGGCGACTTGGGCTCGACACTCGTCATTCGGCGGGTATGCTTAACACCTCACTTCCCAGTTGACGAGCCCGTGGAACGACATCAAATTTTTGAATCCACTTGCACTATTGGGAACAAAGTTTGCCGCTTTATTATAGATCCTGGTTCGAGCGAGAATGTGATTGCACAAGAGGCTGTGACTAAGCTGGGTCTTTCGTGTGAACCACACCCTCGCCCATACAAGCTCGCATGGATTCACAGAGACCGTGCGATCACGGTTGACCGGCGAGCTCTCGTGTCGTTATCTATTGGGGCCACATACCGTGACCAAGTATGGTGTGATGTGGTTCCGATGGATGCTTGCCACTTGTTACTTGGCAGACCTTGGCAATATGACGTCGCAGCTTCTCTTGACGGTCGGCTTAATACGTACAGTTTCACGTTCGCCGGTGTGAGGATCACTTTGCATCCCAGTCCCCCACGTCCTACGCCGC